TGGAGATTGGCATTGCGGAGAGATGGCGGCGCTGGCAATCATCGCTCGATGAGCGAGCAGCAGCAGCAGCAGCAGGATTTGGATTCCCAGGATAGATTCGCTTGCAAGCGCGTGTGCGTGTAAGATCTGATGATGAAGCGAGTGGGCAGCTTTGAAAAGGATGTGACGCCCAATTTGTGCATCACTGTGTGTGGGGTCTCGGATTTGGATGCTTGCACCAAGGCGTGCGCTCGATCCGTTTGTTCTACGCAGCATTGGAACGATGTTTGTATGCGGTGATGCCAGAGCGAGATGAGACCTCTCGGCTCTATGGGCGGTACAGCGCCGACAACAAAGAAGAGCTCTTCTCCAGGGTGAGCCAGCCACAGGAGGCACAGACTGACGGCGACGAGGATTTCATGCGCGATGATCTTGCGGAAGCGCTGCCGCCTCCAAAGATCATCGAGTGGGAACCTCCCGACGTGGATTGGCCCTCCGTCGCTGTTCTCTCTGCCAGAAAATCGATCATGTCGCTTGGAAGGGGAGCGGGAGGCTTTAAAGCGGTGCATTACGTCCAAGCTATACGAGCTTGTACCAAGGCAGCGCAGAAACTCCTGGCAGTACCTCTCTTGCAGATCTTGCTCCTGGATTGCAGGAAATTTCGGAGCACTGAGGCTTGTTTTTCTATCACTTTCAGTTTCGCTTTTCTTTTACAGGTTACAACTCTTGATAACTGGTCTTGCCTTGTGATGGATACCACAATTGATGCACCCGCCTGCACTAACGGTAAAACACTACTCGGCGATGATTGTGGCTATCCAGAGGGGGTGACATTATCTTCTTTGCCTCACTACTCGGCGATGATTGTGGCTATCCAGAGGGGGTGACATTATCTTCTTTGCCTTCTAGGTCTTGGTCGGGAGTCACATATTCATGAACTTGTTCGTGGCTGTCATACTGGATGCCGTAACCTTCGGCCTTGTGAACGAGAACTCTATGGTCATGCCGGAGCACCTGTTAGCATATAGGAAGTTGTGGAGCCAAGAACCATTCGATCCCAAGTATGCCACTTACGTTCAAGTCCTTGTAGAGCTAACTTTACAATCGTCCAATGCTACGGGATACATTGGCTCCTGAGCTTATGAGCTCAAAATTTACCCGGGCTCCAAGCATTTTGCTTCCCAGTCAATGTGTACTTTGTGTTTGATGATTTGTAAACGCCCTCGATGACCCGCTGGGCCGGCGCTACAAGTCCACAACCCAATGGTTTGGCGTGTGTTTGCGGAATCCTCCCAATCTCTCTTTGTCTCTCACTCGTTTTTTTCTTTGTTCTGCTCAGGTACATGAGAATAGAGTACGAGGTGATGAGTTTTCGAGTTCCAAACAAAGGAATCCCTTTCAAGGAGCTGCTGGAAACGCTGACGCTGTATAAGATCGGACCAACTGTAAGTAGCTGCTATTCCAAGCTTGTGATACTTACGTTTGGCTCGGATTAACGCAGGGGTTGCCTCTCACTCTGCGCATCGAGCGTGAGAAGCGGATCCAGGCCGTGTACATCCAGGGCGCTGCGACGAAAATGCAGGCTCTCGTGAGAGGTTTCCTGGCGAGGATAAGAGCCGGCAAAGGTGGTGCTGCTGTGAGCAAAACCGAGGTAGCAGCTCAGCAAGAATTGGAATCGACAAGGAGCAAACCTGAGGTGGTAGAGATTGCCAGGGACGTGAGAGGCGAAGCTCTCCTGGTGGGAGAATAGTGGTGCAGTCGCAGTTTTGTATATATTGATTTAGAGGAGAAATATGTCAAACTACAGACGTTCGTATAACAAAATGCTTCGGAAATTAAGACTTATGTCTCTTGAGATTGGGGCGGTCCTCAAGCCAAGGTGGAATTTTCATTCCTTCCGGGCAGTTTAGCTCTTCCAGCCTGGGAAATGCGCCCTGGCTGTGATTGTGGGACCACAGTGCATCGTTAAGTATCATGCTTGGCCTAAAAATTCCAAGACGTTTCAAACCTGGCAGCGATGCAATGGACGATGGAACGATACTCTCATCACAGCTCAACCACACGTCTTCTATATCAGTCATTTGATCTGATGGCTCAAAGAAATCATTTTGCATCTTCCTGCACGATAGTGAAAGTTTTTGAGCTTTGAGTGATGACTTCTCGGTTGGCAACAACAGTCTCTTTATGCAACCACTTACTTGCCCCTATTTAACAGAGAGGGGGGCAGGCAGGCAGCAGGCATGCAGCCGGCAGAATCTTCTCGCCACTGATCTATTAATTCATTTTAATACATTTTGTTATCATCCATCAATCAGTAAAAGTCAAGCCTACTAAAGCAGTATACCCAACTCCTATTATCAAATTCAAGACTACTACACTTCATTTTCTTTGAATCTTGGAGTGAATAACTAGCTCAGATTTTAAATAACAAAGTCAACTAGGTTTCAAAAAATGTTCCAAGATCCCAAATTGACATGATCAATATCCAGTATGTATTTTGCATATAATTGTGTATGCTTACATCAATTCAGAATTACAGGGCTTGTAAGCTCTAGTCGCTAATGGTATCCCTCTGAAGTATAAGTGTTTTTCCAGTATGGATTTTAGCTAAGTTACTTCAGACCTTTACCGTTCTTACTAGGATACTGTTGTAAAATTCTCAAAAAAACTGTGGCCAAGTCTTCAACAACTTCATGCACCACCACAGCGAATATCTCCATGTACAAAGACACATGCGCTAAACTTGCAACACCCCTCCGAAAATCCTGCCACGCTGCCACTTTGGTAAACCCAAACTGGAGCACCACTTCCGACGAGCATAAATCAAACGTGTTCGTACCATGGAGGATGTCATAAAGATGCCCTTAGAGGGGAATTGCTGCTGATTGAAAGGAAAACAAGTGCAAGAAGTACCTGATAAGCTACTCTCACAAACCCTTAAGTACAGCATCAAGGTGTGATCCCGAACTCCTCCGGTTCATCTCGAGATCATTGATTGTTGATGTGAGTTCTCCAAAAGCGGAGTACAATGCTAGTTCAGCCGTCCTGTACGTACATACCATGCTCCGACCGAATACTGATTGCCAAAACACCATGCAGAGAACTGAACAATGCCACACCCAAGCTTGAGAAGATGACAATGAAACCCTAAGGGCCGTGGAATCATGTGTCGAAGACTACTACGGTCGAAAGATGCCAAACTGTGGAAAATTCTGTGCAAACTGAATCCCTTTTGTGCCCACAAACCCCAACCAGTAAAATCGAAGAAGTGGTCTTTTTTATTTTGTTTATTTTGTTGTTTTTCAAGGTTTTTTGTTCGTCTCTGGATAATGTGTCCCAGGAAATACAAAGGTTATTAGAATAGACTATGGATCTGGAAGCTCGGAATGCTTTGCTCGAGTCCGCTAACAGAAGGTAAAAATAAGTTTATGAGTTTTTTTTCGTGGTTTTGTGAGAACATCTGATTGAACAGGCTTGAGAAGTTTCTTTTTGAAATGAGGTTGCTTTTAATCAGCCCACGACTGTTACTTTCTGAAATAAAGATAGTTTGAAAGGTGCTTGAATCTCTTGATCTTTGATCTGAGGACTCCAGTTGCTTGCAACAGCCCTGGCTTGGTGTTTGGCACTGATGAGTTTTGCTGCGAGGATGAGTTCTTCAGGCTGGAGAAATGTCATCCAAATCAGTTTAGTTTGCTGTTCAAGTGAATTGTGTATATTTCGATAAAAATTAAAAGATACACTGCACTAGTAGACACAGCGACGAGATATTCTATGGATTTTAGCTAAGTTACTTCAGACCTTTACCGTTCTTCGACAGGATACTAGGATACTGTTGTAAACTTCTCAAAAAACTGTGACCAAGTCTTCAACAACTTCATGCACCACCACAGCGAATATCTCCATGTACAAAGACACATGTTCAGAGCTCGCTAAACTTGCAACACCCCTCCGAAAATCCTGCCACACTGCCACTTTGGTAAACCCAAACTGGAGCACCACTTCCGACGAGCATAAATCAAACGTGTTCGTACCACGGAGGATGTCATAAAGATGCCCGAAGGGGGGAATTGCTGCTGAGGAAAAGGAAAACAAGTGCGAGAAGTACCTGATCAGCCATTCTCACAAACCCCCAAGTACGAACTCCTCCAGTTCATCTCGAGATCATTGATGGTTGATGTGAGTTCTCCAAAAGCGAAGTACAATCCGTGAAATCATGTGTCGAGATTACTACGGTCGAAAGATGCCAAACTGTGGAAAATTCCGTGCAAACTGAATCCCTTTTGTGCCCACAAACCCCAGCCAGCAAAATCGAAGAAGAACCGAGCCACCAACCCTAGATACTGCGGCCAAATTAGGTCCTTTTTTTTGTTTTTTTATTTATATTTCAAGCTGTTTTTTGTTTCCCATTTCCATAGAAGGCTTTCCATAGACGGTTCTGATGGACATATTTTCCGTGACTCCGGTTTTTGAATTGACGATAGTCTGAAAGGTCTGTTTGCTTGAATCTCTTGATCTTTGATCTGAACTGTGCGCGTTTTACAGGCTTGCTTATTTTCTAAGGATTACTCTGAATTTTCTTTTTACGATACTGTGTTTTCCGCAGTAATCTGTATTCCCACTTATTTTACCACCAGATACAACACACAATTTGTTCCTGAGCAGTTATATTGCAGCCACTCGAAGGCTTGGAATTGTCTTGTCCGGACAGAAGGTGATGATATAGCTCGAGCTCGTACTGCAAGTGATCCTGGTATTGTTGAAATCGTTGGGATATGTAACTGCGTCCTTACAGGTATCCTTGAAATACTCTGAGTATTCATTAGCCTGGCAAGCTGCATCGGTGAAGTTGCCTCTGCAGCAGAACCTTGGTAATGCTTGTGACTGAAGTTTCAGGTGTTTGTGGTTTCAGGTGCTTTATGTGGAGACAACTCTAGCTACAAGTGAATGACAGCATCAGCAGCTTTGCTTTTCCTTTCCCCTGGTACAAAAGCTTTTGCAGAAGAGGAGGCATTACGGAAGCAATGAAATCGCCTTCAAGCTTCAAGCTTCTTCAGCTTTTGATCTTCGGAAGTGGTAAGCATCTCCCTGCTTCTGTTTTCATGCTTTATTTCGTTAAAGTGGGACTTATTCAGTAAAGTGGGACATTAATTAGCATGTGTCCACATGCCATTTCCTAGTACTTAATTAATATTTATTAATATTTCTATCAGTTTTTTAATTTATTTTTTTATATTTCACAATATTATAACACAAAATCATATGAAAAGTTTTTAATTTATAAATTATAAAGTTAAAACTTCAATTTTTTATTGTTGTTATAAAAATGGCATGTGGCCACACACCATAAGTGGGATAATGAAAAGTCCCACTTTAACGAAATAAAGCATTTTCTGTGTTCACTCAATCATCGTTACCAGGAACCGAAGCAACAAGGATTCATCTGTGCATTCCCCGTTTGGCCTGCGTGGTTACCAAATTCCGGTCATCCGCAGCTGGGAAAGGGAGGATCAAAGCTAGACTCATGGCAACTCTTTGACGTTTATGCTTCGACGGGATGGTCAGGCAAGTTCTGGGGGCGCCCCAATTGTCAGTTTGACACAGTTCTAGGCACAGGCTGCTGCGAAACAGGAGATTGTTCAAACGCAATCGGATGCAATAGCACTTATTCGCCCCCGGCCACCACAGTCGAGTTCAAGCTCCATCGCGATTTCATCGACGAGTACAGCGTCTCTCTGGTCGAAGGCTACAACTTGGCGGTGAAAGTTTCAAGCAGCAATCCGGTTTGCCTCAGTGGTGGCTGCAGCTGCGACTTGAATTCGCGGTGTCCTTCGGAGCTGCTGGTTTGGAATTCGAGGGGAACTCCAGTTGCTTGCAACAGTCCTTGCTTAGCGTTTGGCGCTGATGAGTTTTGCTGCGAGGATGAGTTCTTGGGAGGATAAATGCCATCCAAATCAGTTCAGTTTGCTGTTCAAGGAGTGTTGTCCTCAGGCAAAGACTTACCCGTTTGATGATACTAATGTTCCGCTGTTTTGCACTGCAGGGTCTGATTATCTCATCACCTTCTGTGCCTCTTGGTAGAAGGTTAATGTAAAGCTGCTTTAAGGCTTTAATGTGTTTATTTAAATTAAGCAAAATCTGAAAAAGCTAAACAAATTAAAAGTGGATTAATTAAGTGTTTAGGGTTTAAGATTTATAAGTCAATGATTTTTGTTTTATTGTCCGGCATTTTCAAAAACAAAAATCAATCTATCCTCATTTTGGTTCATTAACTCTGGTTTTAGTTGCTAGAAATTCGATGAATATTCAAATTTAATAAGCTTTATCATTTTGAATGATAGAACATAACATCACACAAAGTTTTATTTGTTGGAAATCTAGATGAAGGGTCACAATTCGATCATCATTGCATTATAATAAGTATAAACAGCAATCAACGAAATGTCACAACTCTTAATTACCATGATTGTTGATGTGTCCATTCCACATGATACACTCATGTCATAAGAGGACTTAAATCCTCATCTGACATGAGCCTGGGAAAATCTTTATGACATGCATCTTTCAAGAAACTGTATCTATGCTCTGCAGATTGTGGGCAATTCATCCCTCATTGCTGCTCTCTCCCTCTTTCTATTAGGGCACCTGATGGGTTCCTACCCAATTGGATGTCACTGTTCCTTTGGCTGACATTCCCCCATGTGACCAGTCTGAGCACTCTGTGGCCCTGGCATTTCTCTCATGCCACCAATTGCAATCTCAGCACCATCTCGTTCTCGGCTTCTAGCACATGGGATGCAAACAATCTACCAGAAAAGGGAATCCTCCATTGCCTAGATCCTCTGTTAACTCAAATCACCAGGCCAGAATCTGAGTTGTTCCTCGTGCTGAAAGCATCATCTGAATGCTTTCATCGTTCCACCACATCTGGTGGTTCATCTGGATCGCTACCATCTTATTTCTCCATAGGGCTCTCTGAAAATCAGCAAAACTCAGTCTCTGATACCATGTAGGAATTCTGGAAGAAGTCTCTGATGCATTATAATAAGTATATTCAGCAATGAACGAAAGGTCACAACTCTTAACTAGCTGATGTGTCCACTCCACAACACTAGGAGGACCTAAATACTCAACATTATACTGAAATTCAGGTCTGACTGTCTTCGTAGGACTGGCCCCCATTATTTTTATTATTTCCATGCTTAAGTTTCCTTAGCATGGACATGTGATTCTAGTTGGTGTAGCAGTAAAGTCAGTTTCACAGGCCCTTGGAACGAGTACAGTTGTTCCACCAATCATGATGGGGTATGGATTAGGCCGATCGCACTGAGTTCTGTATACTGAAGCATAGTTCCTCTGGAAGATGACTTGGTTTGGGCTTAAGGTTTCACCAACCTGGAAAGTACGAGAGATGTTGTTTGAACCCATAACATTCACCTGATTCACTTGATATGAGCAACTTGTATCATATATCTGAACCCCGACTGCACAAAAATCCACGCATCGCCCAATGACGGTGATTCCTTGCTCAAAGTCACTGCGAGATGCTACAAAAGCTGCAGACTCCCCAGATCCCCGCCCAACATTTCTATCGTAATCGTTGTAGATTGACACCTCAATCTTCTGACTTGTGACACATAGGAACAATGTCTGGGCATCCAGCTTGATGGAATATGAACACTAAGTTGAAATATAAGCCAAAAAAAGTTGAAAAATGTTAGTTTGGATTTGTGAAGGATATGATAAAGAATTATTTACCGTCCCCGAAGCTGAGCAACCAGGACACATCAGGAAATTTGATCTTGAATTGTACATGCATGTTGTTGGAAAGAGGAAAAACTGCCGATTGAAGCCAATGGCAAAATCACTAGCGACGTTGAAACCGGGACACTTAGTGAGCACTTCACTTGAAAAATGGAAGGAGTACTCATTTTCCAACATTCCTTCACGAGAAACCATCACCAAGCCTGGAACCATTCTTTGAGGGGAGACGTTTATAGTGATAATGCAGTAGTCACAAGGTGCCATGACTGTTGCAGAATTCCCTCCACAAGAATCGCCTTTCAAGCCAGTGACTTGGGCAGAGTCGCCATTGAGATTTGAGAGCTTGACTGAAGCACTCTGTTCATTGCAGCTGATACGAAGACCGGTTGAAAAATCATAAAATTCAATGGTGTAATTGCAAAGTTCTACAGCTGCAGATGGAAATAGTATGAGAGAAGAGCAAATCATGAACATAAGAAGAGTAATATCTTCCATTTTTGAATTATTGTAATTTATCAAAATAGTTTGCCCCTATTTAACAAAGAGGGAGTAGGCATGCAGCTGGCAGAATATTCTCGTAACTGATCAAATTCATTTTAATACATTTTGTTATCATCCATCAATCAGTAAAAGTCAAGCCTACTAAAGCACTATACCCAACTCTTATTATCAAATTCAAGCCTACTACACTTCATTTTCTTTGAATCTTGGAGTGAATAACCAGCTCAGATTTTAAATAACAAAGTCAACTAGGTTTAGCTCCACAAACTTCCCATAAGACCTGCATCACAATCCTTGCCTGTGGCAGTGCCACGAATGAAAAGTTTTTTGCCTTCCTCACTTGCAAAAGAAAATAAAGTATTTAACACATTAGTGTTCCTTGCCTAACTTTGCTATTTGAATTTCTTCCCATGGATTTTATAGCCCACATTTGGCCACCACAAAAAATGTTCTAAGATCCTAAATTGATATGATAAAAAAAGTACAATTATCCAGTATGTATTTTATATATAATTTGTGTTGTGAGGGCCAAGTGTACGGCAACAATGCCGTATACTAATATTAGGGTAGTGGGATTTTGGTAGCCATTGGATTGGTTTCAATCCGGACCACTTACTCCTGTATATAAGCTAGGGTTTTTGGGCTAATTAATATGCACATTTCTGTATTCTTTTTTTCATATTCCATGCACTCACATTGGTGGAGATGAGGGGCACTTTTGATTGTCCATGGGGAGTGTTTGGATTTGGGATTTTGGTTTAGATCTAGCTTTTTGCATTGTTTAGATTTACCATTTCCTTCCAGCTTTTTGTCATTTATCTTCTTTTGCTCTTTCTTCGTTCGTCTTCATGGCAGATTAACAATCTCCTCCTTTGACTCTGGAGCAACAGTTGGTACAATTGCTTGATGCTATGCGCTTGCAATTGAACAACAAAACTTAGTTGATGGCGGCGTTCACGGCACGTGGTACAATTCCTCCTACTCTTGGTGCCAATCCTCGCGTTTGGCTGGAGTTCTTTTGCGGGAATCCTGGGGATGATGTGTACCATTGGTTCGATCACTTCACAGTGATTGCCACATATCATTCTTGGGATGATGCTCGATGTTTGCGTGAGTTTCCCATGTGTCTTCAAGGGACGGCGTTACAGTGGTACAATGGTTTGAGTGCAGCCACTCGTGGGGATTGGAGTGTTCTCCCGGACGTCTTCAAACGTGCCTTCAGATATGCCGATGACTGTGACAATGTCTTCTAACAATTGCATTGTCTTTGCCAAGGGCCATCTGAGTCAGTGATGCAATTTGGTGTTCGTTTCCGAAGTCTTTTGCTTCGTGCGGAGCCAAATATGTCGGAGCGGATCAAGCTAGGAATGTTGTGGCCAACACTTCGTCAAGATCTTGTCGGACTTGTGCATGCACTTGCTCCCGCCACCCTTGACGATGCTCTTCGCTTGGCACAACGTTATGAGATGTCACCTCTTCCACTTCTCGTTGCACATCCTTCAGCTCCACTTCCTGTGGGTGATGGTCATGTTCCAATGGAGGTTGATGCTGCTGCTGCTCGAGTCCAAGGCCAAGGGTGAGGACGTGGTTGTGGCTGTGATGTTCGCTCTAGGCATGTGATGAAGTTGGTTATACTTATCGGCGTTGTCAGCGTTTTCCGGATTGGCAACCTCCATTTCCTGGGTGGAGACCTTGGCGCTAGTAACGTCCCGTTGGTACTGCTGTAGTGGAAGGTTTGGACGCAGAGATGCATCCGGGAAATGAGGAGTCGTGCGAGTAACGGAGAGACCTTGCACGAATAAGTTAGTGACCCCTCCATCTTTCTTTCGGGAGTATCATCAAGGGGTTCACTCGGCACTAGTTCATCCAGTGTTTACTTTCCAAGCTCATCTTTATAACAAGATGTCTCCTATTATTCTCTCCGTGTTGGTTGATATAGGTTTGAGTTTATCTTCTATTGTTTGACCTGTTGCCACATGTTGTCGTCTACACTTGCGTCATGCGGCGGAACTAGTTTTCATTCTTTATGGCAATGGCCGTACACATGCATGTGCACGGGATGAGGCAGACCTGGTTGTGCGTGTGGGCGATCTCGAGCTTGAGTTGCAGTTGTTGCGGGTGGTGCCAAGTCAAGCTTTTGACCTCATTTTTGGTATGGATTGGTTGCAGTGCAATCATGCCAAGTGTGACTTTGAGGCTTCTCCCTCTTATCTCATACTTCCTTATGTTTCATCCATTCCTCTCACTTCCGTACCTCTTTATCCCTTTACTTCTACCTTTGTTTCTATTACTTTTGTTCCCCCACTATTTCCTCTTGTGTTTCTATCTTGTTCTGCTCTTATCATCTAGAGCCAAGATTGCTACACGACATCCGATTCCAACTGGGGATGCTCGTTCAATCAAGGTACCTGTCACCAAAGGAGATCAAGATTTTACGTGCAAATGTCAAGGAGATGTTGGAGAAGGGTGTTATTCGGAAGTTGCGGAGTCCTTGGGCATGTGAACCTCATCTTGTGACGAAACCTGATGGGAGTATTCATTTCTGCATCGACTATCGTCCGTTTTACGACGTAACGATCCCAGATGTGTACCCTCTTCTTCACACTGCTAATCTCTTGGATTGTCTGGGGCGAAGTCGTTGGTTCACTAAGCTAGATTTTGCTTCTGGGTACTGGCAAGTACCGATGGCCGAAGAAGATATTCTTAAAACTGCTTTTCGTACACCATTTGGTTTGTATGAGTTCTTGGTGATGCGTTTGGTTTGAACAATGCTCCAGCAACT